CGGCACCACCCACGACCCGGTCGTGTGCAGAGCAGCCCGCCTTCCTAGGTACACTTGTGCCATAGGCTACCTTTCCGTCTTGTCTTGTCCGTCACCCACACGAGGTAGGCCTGGCGCACGGGCGGCTCCAATTTTCATTCGTCCTCATGGCCGTTTCGATCTCGATGTAACTTGTGCCGGTGTGGGCAACCAATCATAGGAGGACATCCGGGGTCAAACCCTCAACGCTATCCAGGGCCCTCGCACCGACGCTGGGGGTCTAGCGGCGCTTACGCATGAGATCGAGCGCGGCCGGGCCGCCTCTGCCGTACTGCTCAACTACAAGAGCGACGGCAGCGAGTTCCTGAACTACCTCCGTGTGTACCCTCTCGTGGGAGATGGCCGCGGGACTGTCACGCACTTTCTCTGTGTGTTGCAGGTGTGTTTGTGTCTGTAATTGGCATCGACCTCGCTGTATTACTTTTTGCTTGTTTTTCTCCCATCATTGGATTCTGTCGGCTGCCCTTCTGGCCCCTATCCTCCACTTCTACCAGCTAGACGACCCAACCGGGGTCACATAGGAGGGGGGGGTTGGACGCCCTCCTGCGGTTCCTGCCTGAGATATTTTTATCGCGAGAAGGGTACAGCAATCCCTTCCCTCGCAACTTATGAAGTCGATCAAAATTTACTAACAACGAGCTTTGCAGCGCGTCGCTTCCAACGGAGACCAGGATTTCATGAGCGAGAAAAATCTCACTCTGTCGGGACTCGAACCCATGACCTGGCCCTTAGCAGGCTACGAGGCTACCCACTAGACCACCGGGACTTTTTTTTTTTTCTCTCCCATCATTGGTCTTTGTCGTCTGCCCCTCTGGCCCCTATCCTCCACTTCTACCAGCTAGACGATCCAACCGGTCGCATTACCGGGGCTGTATGTAGCCGGCTGACAAATATAAAGACGTCAGTCTTGCAGCTTTTTTTTTCTTTTCGTGTGTGTGTGTTTAATTATTACTAGCATTGACTGCGCTACATGTAGCCGACTGACCAATGAGAAAACGTTATTCGCAGTACGGAGTTGAATGCAGAAAATGCTGTATATGTACGTGTGTTTTTTATTGTTGTTGGCACCGACCGCGCTAACCGGCTTGCCATTTATCGGACGCCAGGTCAGAGCGGCTGAAAACAGAAAATACTTTTTGATGGCCATGATCTGCGACCCTGTGAGGGGGCGTCATGGGGTGTACTCATGCTCATACTCGTAGTCGTGCATGCCGAAGTCGGTAGACCGTTGACCTCGCATCCCTACATAGCCGGGACGGAGCACGCCGGGTTCTAACCGGGCCAGGCTCTCACATCACCCAGCGTGAAGCGCCGTGAGGTATTGGGCGAGTCGCATGAAGGGTGCGCTGCATCCTGCTGAGGGTGTTCGGCATCCTGCGCTTACTTCCTTGCATACGGATGACAGCTGCCTGTGATTATGCTGATTTTGTGGTGCTTTCACTTCCTGAGACAGTTGTAAGCACTTGGTAAGTGCCTCGAGAGTGCTTGACCAATTTAGCCCAACGTGGTGCGATTATCCCCCTTGCGCGGAGGGAGGGTTCTCGACCCCGCACAACATGATCTACTCGACCACCATTATGGTTACCGCCAAAAAAAAAACCGGAGGTAAAAAAAAAAACGGTAACCTGGTTGCCAATGTCACGAAGTATTCGGCGTGTTTTACATCATCGCTGCCACGCGACGAAAACCCAAACCCGATGGCATAATCACCATGGGGGGGAAACGGCTTGTTATACAACGTCGTTGCCACGCAACGAAATCCCAACCCCGATGGCAACCCCCGGAGGGGGGAATGGGGGGGGGGTGTACTCATAGTCGTGCATGCCGTAGTCGTTAGTCCATTGACCTCGCATCCCTACAAAGCCGGGACGGAGCACGCCGGGTTCTCACCGGACCAGGCTCTCACATCACCAAGCGCGAAGCGCCGTGAGATATTCGGCGAGTCGCATGAAGGGTGCGCTGCATCCTGCTAAGGGTGTTCGGCATCTTGTGCTTACTTCCTTGAGTACGGATGACAGCTGCATATGACTTAGTTTATTTTCTGGTGGTTTCACTTCCTGAGACAGTTGTAAGCACTGTGTAACTGCCTCGAGGGTGCTTGACCATTTTAACACAACGTGGTACGATCATCTCCCTTGCGCGGAGTGAGGGTTCTCGACCCCGCATAATATGATCTACTCGACC